CGCACAAGTTTTAATTGTGCGAAAGCTCCCCTGACCACCGCTGAAACCTGGGGCTCCAGGCTCAGCGATGAACAGCTGTTGGGGGGACTGCAATGGTTAAATAGTAAGTCAGAGGGATGGGGCTTTGGTCAATGTAAAGAGTTGATAAGAATACCAACTACAACAAAAAAAAGATATGGGGTATAACGTGGTCCTGTGGCTATATATGTCCCTTTCAAGATGCCAGCCTCTTTGTATGTGTTCTCCATTGTCCTCAACTCTCTCCCAGCTTTGTTCAAAAACACCAACCTAGAAGACTTGGTGAATGCCCGGAAATTAGAAAGGGAGCACCAGCGGGATGAGTCACAGCGTAAGAAAGAACAAGATAAACTCCAGCGGGAGAAGGACAAATTGACAAAGCAAGAGCGCAAGGAGAAAGAGAAGAAGAGGACACAAAAAGGCGAGAGAAAGCGGTAGCCAGGGAGTGTAGCTGGACCCTTCTCCTCCCTCATCTAAGATATGGCACAGCATGCAGACACACAGATTGCTCAGCAGAAGGAATCTTTTTTTTTTAATCCTTCAGCAGTATGACATAGACAAGGATTGGGGGAGAGCATGAAGGGTGAATCCTCTTTACCGTTCCCCTGAAAGAAAACAGTGCTGTACCCTTTTATTGTCCAAATATTGGACTGAGTAATTGTGGCCAACCTCTGTAACCAAAGAACTGTGTGGTAGTTCTTTTCCCTCCCACCTTCCCTACTTTTTTTGACACTTTCTACCTTTATTAACCACTTAAGGGGAAGTTGTCATATGTCTGAGTATATAAATTCTACCCAAAGGTTGCTTTTGGTTGGAGATGTTGTTAGAGAAAAATATGGTTTCTCATATATGCAAGGTACAGGAAGGAAGCACCCTTTGACAAAGCTTATGAAGATGAACTAAGTGCACCACACACTTCACCTTCCACAGCTAAAATTGACCCCAGAGTTACTGCTGCTTGTTGGGATTGGCCTAATGCATCTCTGTGTACTCTCTGCAAGGCTGTGTTGTTGCCATTTAAGTAAAGTTCTGTGAATTTAATTCGGTCTGAGGCATCATTGACTTTTTGGTCTATGCAGTTCTTTATAAACGTTTGATGGGGAAGCCACTGGCTGAAATGGAAACAAAGGAAGGACAGGTTACACTGTTCAACAGAGAAAAAGTTGTGGGCCTGAAAATAGTTGTTCTTTTA